TATTCTAGAATTATGTATATATGTACGAAAAAGATATTCCTACCTTTCTGAATTAGTTCGAACAGTCGTATGCTTTCCCCCAAATTACAACTGAATTTTTCTTTTAGTTAGACGTTCTTGTTTTCCTTATTCGTCTTCAGTTTTAACGACGGCAATTTAGAACTAATTCGAAGTTAATTCGTGCGATTCTTGTGATAATTGTTCTATTCCGTTCTGGATCATATGTGCAACCCCTTTTCGGTCCAATATATCTAAGCTTCACGTACATCTATAATCCCAAATAACGTCATACCTTTTTTAATACTGTAGATTGCTTATCARACGTCTAGGTTAGTTCCTTTGTGTTTCACTAAAATTTTCAAAATTAAAGTGAATCTGCCCAAGAAAATCCAAGTTAAAGTTTATGCAAATGAACACGATTCTGTATCTGATTTTCAGAACTCTTCACGGTCGTGATTTCTATTGTGTTTTCCTCATTAATTATCAGTGAGTTTGATAAATCATTTTAAAGAGTACTTCAATACTTTCAGAACAAGAAATGTTACCGAGCTGTCGACCTAAGTGATGAGGCGGGAGGGATACGTGCATTTTTGTTTTATTTTGATATGGATCCTTTTACAGTGGTATTACACCTTATTTGTGCCAACAGTTGTATCAATAACGTGTAATGTTCTTTCATCAACACCACAAGTAACATCATTAGTGGGGATCAACTTTCAATAACGACATTTGAATATGCGTATACATTCATGGTCACTAATGGACAATCAATAACGCGTTTGTATATTCATATGCGCAGGGGCGTAGCGAGCTGGGGGGGCACTGATCCAAAATATTTAAAAAAATACTCCTTCTCAATTAAAACAAATAAACGCTCAAACAAAAATTTAAGAAACAAACATTATTTTATTAACCATTCTTAAATCTTAACTCAAACGGTTTAAAATGCTAGTTCCATTCYTCTWYGTGGAGCAAACTGATTCATAACTGCATGTGGATCGAGATTATCACACAGATCTCTCTCCAATGAAATCATTGCTAGTGAAGATAGCCTTTTCTGTCCCATCGTTGAACGCAAGCAGTTCTCTATCAATTTCAATTTGGAAAATGATCTTTCTGCTGAGCATGAGGTAACTGCTATGGTAATAATTATATTGTATAAACGGAAGACTGTTGGGAATGTACGGTTATAGCCTTTGTCAAACATATGCTTAGCCACCTCTATCATCGATTTGCAGTCCTTAAAACTATGGTCATTCTCGTGTAGTTTTCTTTCGGATGCAACTGTGGCCAAAAATACATCGTATTCAGTCTTTGCCGCATGTTTGTCGATGTCGCGACTGTAAAACTCTGTTTTTCACACTTTCAGTCACAACATTAGTGTTTAAAAACAATTTTGGAGACAAGACCCAAACATGTTTCAACACTCCTTCCGTGTTCTTGTTAAATCTGTTATTTAGTTCCGAAACTAAATTTTCTAGGACGTCGAAATAGAACTCAGCTCTGTATTTCATCTCTACACTGCTAAAGTGATGCTGGTTAGCCGAGGATAAGCCGGCACCGCTATCTACACGCGACGAAAGTACTCGTTTTCTCTTAGATTGCTCATTGGGGACAGCAATGCCACTTTCTTCGCACTTTTTAACTGCTTGATCAAAGTACTCATGAAAAACATCCTCAGGTCTTTTCGTTTTTAAAACAGACTTAACACCTGATACAAGGTTAACGACAGAACTAAAGTCAATGTCAATAACTTGAAGGGTATCTCATAACGTTTTTGTGTATCCTAAAATGTCACATAAAACATCAATGCCTAGAATTGCTTCAAATGACTGAAAGTAGTTTAAGTAGCCTCTTGCCTCTGCTCCCGCTTTCCTATCCTCGTATCCTCGCTATCTCTTTTTTCAAAAATTTTGGGGGGGCACGTGACCCCCCCCCTCCCCCCTCGCTACGCTACTGCATATGCACGGAACGTATTTTCCTGTGCACGCAATTAAACTTCAGTAACACGAATTGACAAACAATTGCATTTATGGACAATCATTTACCTAAAAGTGAAAATTCATTAGTGCTATTAGCATAACCATTGACAATCTATTACGCGTTTGGACAATCATGAGCATCAATGTAGCATTCTTTAACGTGGTTCGACAAACATTTGCATAATTGCCGACCTTAATCCGAAAAAATTCCGAGAAGTTGACGAATACGATACAGAAATTTGTTCATTAACTGCATCTCAGTTCCGCGCCCAAGAAATAGCAGAAACTTTTTATTTCTGCAAGCAATGCATTTATCAACCAGATTCTGAAACTCGAAAATTTTCAACACTCCTCAATTCACTGAACTCTGAGCCATATCGGAATAAAAGCATTCGTGAAATGCTTGACAATTTTATTGACAAAAGCCCGGAAACAAAAAAAGAACTGTAAATTATACGATCTGAAAAAAATATATAACCTTTTGAAATTTTACTCTAAACGTGTATCTTATTTGATTTATTTATATTTTCTGTTTTATTTTACTTGCGAAAAATTATAACCAGGACCATACTTCCAGACATCGAATGCTGAACCTTCGTATGGACTTACGGCTACGCCGGAGATTTCGACCCCGACACCACTATCCCGGGAGGAATTACGCACTGATCAGGAAGCTCGGCCGAAGCCTAAGGGAGAGGTTAGTCGGCCCCTAGACCATGAATGATTAACCCCTTGCTATGGCCAGCATACCCAGTTTCTGAGATGTGTTTCTGATGACAAAACTCCCAATATCACTCTTTTCGATGTGGGATGCTTTTGGAAAACCTAGCCATACCTTTATCCAGTTTGACGCTCTTAGAAAAAGTTGCGAACTAATATACCATTCTTATACTCGCGCGGCCTTAGAGTTTGGAGAAAATGTATAAGTTGCATATTGTTCATATTTTTTGTTTTTTAAACTCGCGCATGTCGCAAACGCCTCGCCGCTGGCATGCATGTGAGGCAGTACGATTATTGAAAATGCAACGCCATTCTATCTTGCTCGGAAGATCAATGAGTTTTACGTGTGCATGTTAACGTTTGCCAATTCAAACCGAAAAAATCTGAAAAGTGCTCAAGAACTCAGCGTGAAAATTTCTTCAGTGGATCAGGCGTGCGTTGGACGGTCATTTCAGTTGGTGGCGAAATTCTGTTGCCTAACCTAACGAACGTTACATTATTTGGTAACAGGTATGAGTGATTTAATTCTTCTTAATTTCTCTAGATCTCAGAACTTTTATATAATGGTAAAAGTAAGTTTGAAAGTAACACACACACTGAATCAGTTCACTTCAAGACTTTTACCGGTTCAAAGTAAACCGAGCGGCCATTTTGAAATAGCACCAGGCCTACACACGAAAGTGGAATCTAATATGAAGCAAATAGTCACGTGACATGGACTACGACCTGTTAATATTATCACTTTGGTGTTTGCATAATTTTGCATAATGATAATAATAATAGTAATAATAATAATGATAATAATAATAATAATATATATGGCTCATATAGCGCTYATACAAGTCTGTTCTAAGCACTTAGTAACATAACGTTAAAGGAATAAATAAATAAGATAGATAATATGATTATAAAGAAAAAGCTAACTTAAATAAATGAGTCTTGAGTTTAGATTTAAATAAAGATGAACTGGAAATATCTCTAATTGAAGAAGGTAGAGAGTTCCAGAGGAGCGGAGCAGCAACTGAGAAAGAACGTAGATCATATGACTGGAGATTATAAGATTTTGAAGACAGCAACTAAATTAAAAATGAGGATGAACGAACGAACGAACGAACAAATGAAAAAAGGAATCATTATTTAAACATCAATGCCAAGTAAACATTAAATTTAAAACTTGTGTGTACAGATATAAAATTTAAATATAATGATTCGCAAAAACACGTAAATAAAATCATTTATAAAATTTAAGTTTACGAAATAAAATACATCATATTATAATGCATTTTAATTATGGCTTATTAATATTCATCTGATTTCAAACTTAATTTGCATCTTTCATGATCATTTCTTTATCGTTCCAACAAGCCAGTGACGTGCTGTCGACCCAATATGTTTTTGATGACAATGAGGATGATGGTGTGCTTGTTAGGGTACCGTGGTTGTTATTCCACAATCATAGGTAGGTACATAAGACTTATTCAAGGGCGGATCCAGCCAAAATTTTAGGGGGGGGGCTTATTGAGTTTCTTCCGTCAACACAACCGAAAACAATATAAAAAAGCATCGTTTTTTTCTGCTGAAGGGGGGGGGGCTTCAGCCACCCTTTGCCCCCCCTGGATTTGCCCTTGTTATTCCGATACTGTGTATCAGGTCTTGATTTATTACATTGATTCTCACTTTTATATCACGCAAGTACTAGTCTTCAAAAGCACGCGTGCCTATTAGACATTTCGAGGTTGAGAAAAGTACTGGGTCGAGCAGGCATTGCATTATCCCAAATTATGAGATCGTCATAATTCTTCCACACATCCCACATTGCACTGCAATGCCAATTTGAACCAGTGTTATGTGAGTCTTTCTTTTCATTACTAATAGTTCCCCCGAATGTCAAGAATGACACGAGATCTCTCATTGGCTACACAAATGGATCGATCGAAATCGGCTGTGACGTAAACGCATCTGATTGGTTCACTTGGACAAAAGACAGTGACGTACTTGGACGAGGAGAAAGAATTATGATGTCACGTGACGGAAGATTGATATTTAATACTCTTTACAAGAATGACTCCGGTGTATATACTTGTATTGCTGGACTAAACATGACGAGAGGAAAAAATATTACCTTACTGGTTGTCGGTAAGTTAGTTATTGTTAGTATATATATATATATATATWTTCCAATTTGGAATTAACAAATATTGAGACCAGTAATGATAAAAGGGTAAATTATACACCGTGAAAAGATGAAAGAACTCAGTACTGACGTTTCGGACGCTAGTCCTTCGTAGGAGTAAAAGAGAAAGAGGTGGTAGAAAGGAGTGTTTATATGATAGAATAAGACAAAAGAAACCAATGAGAACAGGGTAAGCAAGGAAACAAAAACAAACAATCAAAAGACAAAAGAAAGGGTTAGTTGAAAGTAAAGCGTTCATTAATCCCGTTGGGACTAAGAGAGTGCCCAATAGGTGAATAAGCCGCATTTCTTTGGTCTTGCGACAATCATTGTTGCCGTTAATCAAATTTTTTGTATAAACTACCTTTTTATCATTACTGTTTCATTAGAAACACTTACGCAGCTCAACTATTTTTTAGCTAGTTATATCTAAATATTGACACCATTTTGCTGTTAAAGCCATTAAGAACTTTAAGTATAATTTTAGACCTGAATATAGAGTTTCGCGCGCTGTGATTGGTCGAGCGAGCAGGGATTATGAGACGATATTCACTGCTCGAGTGGTGATAATGAGGTTTCCCAAAATTTGCCAAGGAGGAAGTAATACTAAGACGTTTTCTTTAAATCCTGAATTTCGTCTTCTCTGATATTTAAGTCCAAAATTACATTAAAACAATTATTAGTCACCTCAGTAAATATGGCGAAAACTTACCTCAAGGCTTGGAATATGTAGAGGTTATTTTACTGCATGCTAGTTGTGCATTACAGCCGGATAATTTTACGAGTGAAAGCGGCCTTATTTTTTCGAGCCCCCTAGGCGAATAATCATTAAAAAGAATTTTTTTTTAACTTACTCCGAAATATTTCCGAATCCTGGAACAAACCCGAACTAATTCTTGTCTTCATTTTTCATTGTTCTTCCATTCAGTCTTTCTCTTTCTCTAGCCTCCATTACTTTTTCAGAAAAGTCCACAGGGGATTGATTGGTTTCAAGGATTCTGAAGGCCTCTCCATTAAACCCCACACCCCTCTACTATTGAAGTATCTTGAATAACCTTCCTTTTCTCTTTTGTCTGGCAACTGGTCAATCCTTTTATGATATTTCTCTCAGATAAAACAAGGTTGCCAGTCGTAAAAGTCCTTGCTTCTTCAGTGAGTAAAAATAAAATTACCTGATAATATATACGATGATTATAATCATGGTGGTGGTGATAGTGATGGTGGTTGTGGTGGTGGATTGATGATGATGATGATGATGATGATGATGCATTGTGATATAAAGTGGTAATTATTATCATGGTAGTCCCATAAAGTGAGAATTGACTAATGATATAAATGAAGAACCAAACACCGATGTTGACCTCCACGTTGTGTTTAATCTTTACTGCAGTCTCAGCTTCCAGTTACCTCGTACACGCTGCCAGAATGGATGATTAGTGTTGCCTGTGTTGTAGTGATCGCTTTAGTTACAATCATCATTATCATCACCTATGTCAATATGTCCAGGCCAAAAAGGGGTAAGCTACTGTGTGAAATCAGTGAGAAAAAACATTACGCCATATAGAGCATGTGCATGTTATGTTATAGCCGCCATGTTTTGATGATAAAAAGCTTTCCTCATTAGCTTCTCTTGTTAGATCAACCAACATGGCGGTTGTTTCATTATTATATATTCATATCAAGGGAGTTTAAATCACATGCTTACAGTACACACTGTTTTGAGTTAAGGGTCAGTATTTTAATGAGGTTTTTGTTATTCTGGAAGATATTAGCAGCCACGCAAATGTCGAAATGTCAGATGTTACTGAAGAAACCATCGAAGTGGTTACTTTTAAGAAAAGTGCAGAGAAAAGCCACGATGAAGATTGCAAGATTTCAAATCATGGCAAAGTGCGGCAGAGGAAGTCCTCCTCCTCTCCCACTCAAGACTCATGCTCCATAGAAAACGAATGGCTACAAGAAAAAAGTGCGTCAAAAAAGAAAAGAGAAGAAAAGAAAAAAGAAAGTGAAGGGAAAGGATGGTTATGTACGGTGGAGTACGTTGAAGAAATCCCGGTGAAATTGCGGTTAAGCGAAGGCAATAAAACAGGTCAAAATGTGAAGATCAAATCTGAATACCGTCGAAGTGCTGAGAAAAGCTTTGCTGCATCAGATGTCCGTTCTTCACTAGAGAAGACGACGATGAAAGAAGATGTTAGGCGCGATGAGGAACAGTCAAATTGTGGACAGGAAAGACTATCTGGTTCGGGAAATGCACATGTAAAAAAGCAATTGAACAGCGCGTTTCTTCCGACAAAGTTCCCGCCAAAGAAACCCGAGGTGGCAGAGCCGATGAAGAAGATAGATTCCAAACCGGGACAAGCGCTTAGAAAGATCATCTCTGATCCATGCCTTATGAACAGGCCTCCTTTCCTTGCCGCTCACACCAGAATCAATAACATAGGACAAGACAGCGCGACGACCGCTCAGGGTCAAGGCTTAAGGAGAATAACATCCGAACCAATACGCATGGATGATACCATCTATAGTGCACCAATCATAAAAGGAAGCCTAAAACTCGATAAGAAGTCGTTAAAAGAACTAAAGTCGAAGATACAAAAATCTAAATCTCCTGCTGAAATTCATAGACACAAACTTGAATCAAAGAGAGAAAAAAATAGAGATAAAAAGCTTAGTCCGGCAACAATATCTTTTACCAATGAAATTTACGGAAGCATTGAAGAGCTACGAGCTCCCGAAAATGAACAACCAAAAACTACGGTTTTTGAGGAAACAGAAACGGAGCCCATCTATGAAGTAATACAAGAAAGAATAGAAAAGGATGTCGGAGAGGGTAAAAAATGTAAAAACAAAAAAGCAGGGATAAAAGAAGTAAAAGATAGTCTTCAAAATACAAAGGGAAATAGCAGTAGAACGAAGAATACCAAGAAAGGCTGTTCAAAAATATCGAAACAGGAATACGAACCAAGGAAGCTTGATTTTGCTCAAGGTTTATCAGATGATGGCGCACGGTTACGCCAGTTTTCCGTTTCTACAAAAGACGAAGAAAGCCATGAAGAACACGAGAAATGTTTTGAAAATTTGAGCTTTTCAATTCTGGAAGATTTGGAGAAGTTTGATGAAGATTTTGATGAGGAGCCCAATAAAGTCGTTGATGGGATCTATCAGGATGTCGAAGACGAGGTAGGGTATATGTTATGTATGCCAAATGTGGAATGACTTGATCGTTTGCTCGTTAATATTACTCGTCTTCTGTGTCTTGTTTTGTTTTGCCGTCAAAAGTTAATTTACACTCAATTCTATTCTCAGTCGTCCAAACTTACAGAAACACTCAACCAAACCACAGAGAGCCTATATGAGGAAATTCATTTCAGCAGTACAGTTTCGTGTCAAGATGAATACGAAGAACTTAACGAATTGTCGTAAAAAGCCGAGCTATGTACTATACTACTAGTCGCTTTGTTTTTGTCTTTGCCATTTGTAATGAATCATGTAAACTTTCTAAAAAAATATTTATTTTTGTTTCATTAAATTTATGTCTCGATTGATAACATCGATAAATCATTGAAAATAGAATATAATATAATGTATGAATATAAAGGAATGTTTTTCCTGATTAAATCTAGCTTTTCCTTGACGACTGTGCGCATGAACCGTGAGGAGGATTTTTTGACTGATGTCATAAGAAGCGGGGCCCATTACTAGGAGCATCCATCTCCCATACTGGGTCTGTGAGCCAGTATGTTCCAAGATCATACGTTTCAGAGACGAGGCTAAATTTTCTAAAATACTTCGCCGTCCCTGTTTTTGGAAAATATTCTGACGCACCGACCCACGACTGGGCATATATACAGTGCACTAAATCACGTAGAATAGTCACGTCCAATGAATGACCTTCTATTAATAAAGGTTATGTTATGTAAAGGTTATGTTATGTATGTACATATGTATATATATATATATACATATGTATGTACATATGTATGTACATATGTATGTACATATATATACATAGATATGTACATACATATATATATATATATACGAGGACGGGTAAGCCTATATATATATATACGAGGACGGGTAAGCCTAAGCACTAGTAACTCGATAAACTCTGAATCGTTCAGAAGATATATATTCTTCAAGTCAAAATTTTCAAAAAAATGACATTAGGAAGCCAAGAATCTCTCCAGGACGAGACTCCAGACACTGAGAATCTCATAATACACGAAGAGGTTTGTATTTAAGCTTTTAATATTCTGTTTTGAGTTGTATTTAAGCTTATTTTGATTTTTTTGAAGTCTGCTTTATTTGTATACGTGGGTATCTTGTGCTGTAGGATTTGCTTTCGTGCAAATATAAGCTATTTTTATCTAGGAATAAGGTTTTATTTGGTTCTTTTAACGTTGGAAATCTTTATAGTTTGTTGTTGGAGGTATTATTTTTGTGTTTTGCTTTAGTTTAGTGAATATTTAACTGGCTCTCTTGACCGACAATATCATTGTGCTAGGTCTTACATATAATTTGAATCGCTCTGTCATCAGAATATCTAAAATAATCAAATTTTATTCGTTTGAATGTTCAGATACATATGTATTTCCCATTTTTACTACTTCTTAAAAATGTTTTATCCAAAATAAGCGGTTTAAACAGACGAAGAATATTAGAGGCCATTTTGGAGAGGGGGGACTGGTGCGGCATATCGAATTCACGGAATCAACGGAATCTCTTTGAAACATATGGAAGTCAAACATCATTAAAATAAAGACAAATCAAATTAAAAGAAAAAGTTAAGAACTTCGTGCTCGGTCGTCCTCTAAGAAAAAAATTATATAAAACAACTCGATCGGAAACCCTATTATTAATATTATTATGATTTATCTACATAGAATGATTAACCAGGAAACAATGACATGTCAAAAACATAACTTTAGTCCAAATCATAGCTAACCTTGAAAGAATCTGTTCATGGATCCAGCAAAACATTGCACATTTTTCCATCGTTTTATGACAAGTTGGACGCCATTTTGTAAGCACAGGTAGCCCAATTTTCAAACACAGGAAGCCCAGTTTTTCTAAGGTTGACTTCGATTAGGCAGCTTTGTCTTTACCTTCGACCTCGTGGTGTGAACATGGAGACTTCTGTAATTTATTTCCAACATATTTCTTTATTTCTGCATTCCTATCTCTTCTTCTTTATGTCTATGGGCTTCCTGTGTTTGAAAATTGGGCTACCTGTGCTTACAAAATGGCGTCCAACTTGTCATAAAACGATGGAAAAATGTGCAATGTTTTGCTGGATCCATGAACAGATTCTTTCAAGGTTAGCTATGATTTGGACTAAAGTTATGTTTTTGACATGTCATTGTTTCCTGGTTAATCATTCTATGTAGATAAATCATAATAATATTAATAATAGGGTTTCCGATCGAGTTGTTTTATATAATTTTTTTCTTAGAGGACGACCGAGCACGAAGTTCTTAACTTTTTCTTTTAATTTGATTTGTCTTTATTTTAATGATGTTTGACTTCCATATGTTTCAAAGAGATTCCGTTGATTCCGTTGATTCCGTTGATTCCGTTGATTCCGTTGATTCCGTTGATTCCGTGAATTCGATGTGCCGGGACTGGTGTGTGTAAATTCTTCTTATCAAATTAACTCAAGGTAGTGCTTAAAAGTTTTGCAGACTTTTGTAGCAAATAGTTTCGGTATATATTCTTAGTTTAAATGACAGCCACATTTAAGTGTCTTATAAAAATTCACATTACCAAAATATAGTTTTTATTAATCAACTTAAAGAACTTTTTTTTTGTAACTTCAGAATACTGGCAATACGACAAACCAGAAGAAGAAATCTAAATGGAATCGGCTGAAAGGCATCCGAGTAATCATTGTATCATGTATAGTGTTTGCCATAGCAGTAACTGTAGCCCTTATAGTGGACATATACATTGGTGATCATCATACAGGGCATGCCGCAATAGCGACAGATGTCCAGAAATGCTCTGATATTGGTTTAGAACTTATGAAGAAGGGAGGTTCGGCAGTGGATGCGGCTGTAGGGGCACTGATATGTGTTGGCGTTATGAATCCTGAGAGCTCTGGACTTGGAGGGTATGTACATATTCTTCGTTTGCAAGTTACGTCATCGCTGCCATGTTGGTACCATTTAACAAAAGATTTCTCATTAGCATTCATTGTTTAGGTACCACAATGGCCGCCATATATTTGTCTTTTAGCTCTCTTGGGAATGCTTGCAAACCATGAATTGTAATATTGCTTCTAGATTTGTCACGATTTATGCTTGTGCTTCATTATTTTTGACCTTCAGCTATTTTCAACAAATCTGATATATAAAAAAAACCAAAATCAATGCTTTGTGTTGTTACATGATGGCAGCCATGATAGAGCGGTCATTAGAAAGTGGTCATAAAGTAAGGGGAAAGGGTGGAGGGACTGGTCATAAAGTCAATGGGAGCCCGGGGGGG